TCAGTTATTAAAAGCAAAACAACTTTTATGAAGTTGAAATTCGCAGGCCTGTGTAACTATTCACAGAACACCTGTTCTAAATAACATCAGAAATAAATCAATATAAAACATGGATGGTTGCGGATAATATCCAAAATGTGGTTAAAATTGAGGATGTACATATACATTAACTGTATTAAGCAACTTATTTTTTTACTGCAGTGTTGCAACAGGAGCGTCTGCAAGGGAATCAATACAAATAAACATTCAGTATAACTGGATGTTTTGTTGTTAAACTGTTTCCAACAGGTGTGCTCTTCTTCAGGTAGATCTCAAGTATTTTGAGTGTTCTTGAAAAAAATGAACTGGGCAATGTTGAATTAGTATTAGCATAAACTGGGCAATATTGAATTAGTATTAGCGAAAGAATAAAAGTACCGGTAAACATATGTTTTTCTCTCGTTAGGGTCCACGTTTTGCTTTGGAGCTACACATGGAGGAAAGTACCAACGCTCACCTCGTCTTGATGAGTGGTTTAGTCTCAAGACAACAACACCAGATCACCTCGCTTCGAAATGCTTTTCAGAACCTTACACTTAATACATCTGGAATTCTGTTATGGAGGATTAGTGATTACACCCAAAAGATGTCAGAAGCCAAATCCAGAAAGAGCTATGAGATAAGTAGTTCTCCGTTTTACACTAGCCAGTGTGGTTACAAACTGATGGCGACTCTTTTCCTAAACGGCAACGGAGCAGGAGAGGGTAGTCATTTGTCTGTGTATATAAAGATTTTGCCAGGAGAGTATGATTCCCTTCTTTCTTGGCCATTTTCACACACTGTTTCTTTCACGCTTCATGACCAGGCCGCCTCTCCAGAAAAAGCCTGTCATATTGTCGAAAGTTTCGTGCCAGACCCTTCCTGGAAAAACTTTCAGCGGCCAAGTAAAGAACCAGACAGTTTAGGATTTGGTTTTCCGAGATTTGTTTCTCATGAAACTCTGAAAAAGCTCAACTATGTAAAAGACGACACACTTTTCATCAAGGTGAAAACAAACTCTAGTAAAATCGCAGCAGTATGAAAACAATATATATTTGTATTTGAAAGTCATGTTAACCCTAACGTAATGCATTTATGAGTGCCACCAGTGACAGTTAAACTGACTGTTAGTGTAAAACAACATAAGATGGTCATTCGTTTTTTGTGATTCTCACTGAAGCTATATAAACAAGATTTTTTTTTCTATTTTCTTACTTGAAAGAGAAAGCAAGAGCTAGCACATAAACGTAAGTCCAGTTTGTGTTTTCATGTCATGTTAACCAAATTAAAATATCTAATCATGATTGTAAGTAGGTTAAAGAAAGCAGGTTTGTTCGTCACACTAATATATTTTATCAAAGAAATATTATTTTCTATTTGTATTGTAAACCTTATGGAATTTTTTTGGTACCACTGAGTTTTTGTGGTTTAGTGAGTGACTACTACGTCAGAATCATATTCTGACGTAATACCACATGTTCAGAATATACCACTACGTCAGAATATGTGATGTTATAAATTACTATTTGATGGTAGTTGTTTTCTAAGTGAATATTTGTTTCTGCTAGTCAAAAAAAAAAAAAAAAAAAAGGAAGATGAAAATACGACCATGTAAAAATGTCATGAAATAGATATGTTCTTTTGTTAAATATTTTGCTCATAAAGGTTGCATAATCCTGTATTTATCTAAACAAAAGATGCATAATTGGTATGATGTGAACAATTTAGTCATAAAGTAATTTTTCTTAACCGTTGGAACTAAATAAAGTTACATTTATCTTCTAAATGTTGTAGTTTGTCACTGTTAGTTTTTATGTATTCATATTTTTAAAATGCTAAATAGTTCTTCTCTTTCTATGCTCGTGATAATAGGGTGAAGTTTTTTTATGATGAACTATTATATAATCATAAGGACTTTGTAATCAAGTCTAAAACGTTATATATTTAGGATCCTCTATCCTCATTTTTTCTTCTTTTTATCAACTAACACACAGCAACACTGGAACAGATCTGTCTGGAGATGTTATACACTATGATAGTCCTTGAGAGCTGTATTAACATTACATACTTTGATGTAATAACATTTCACTAGTTCACCTCTCTTCGCACCTGTCAGTTTCATGTTAACTGAATGAGCTGCACTCAAACTGAAACTACTGGCAGGTATTTCGATTGAAATTAATTATTTAAAAAATAATTTATCATCGGGGGTGTTTGAAGATTGAGCAGTCTTACTTCGCCCCTATTCGAGGATTGGGAAATGATATGGACTTGGTTGTGGAATTAAAGGCTGACGTGAATATGACGTAGAATATACATCGGGATGGGCAATGAACACCAAAACACTAAAATGAGCTGCACTGCGATCGGTAGACCCGTTTATACCAATTGCAAGTGGCACTCCTGGTGGCTACATGTGAAATACCGTTTGTGGTATGGTTTGTTTTGAATTTCGTCTAAAGCTACATGGCTATCTGCACTAGCCGTCCCTAATTTAGTAGTGATAGACGGGAAGCCAGAAAGTCATCAGCATGTTTGTTGGGAACCGGATCGAGTGTTCTAACCACCTGGCGATAACGTGCTGAATTGCGAAACTTTTTTTTTACAACCATCCTCTATTATCTCTATCAAACACTGGTAAAGTTGGGTTTTAGGTTGCTCATAATATTTGTTTCATGCACAGTTATTGTTAACTCTTAATTTTGATCTAATTATGACTGTTCAGTGAGGTAATTAAATGGACGATAAATTTATACACATGAGACTACCAGTGTATTGTAAGTTTCATTCATTATATTTATAAAGTAGTTCCTTTATTAAGTAGTTACAATTCAACTAATATATACCTATATAAACTGAATTTATTTCTTTACCTTAACAACATTTTAGAAAACTTGCGATGGTGCGTATATCACCCAGGTTCTCAGAAGTAAGTGTATAGTAGTTTGGAATGAAACTGCGATTGTGATTTTGACCCAATGTGAAGTCACCATATAACTAATGAATAACAGGTCTTTTAAAATTTATACTGAAGGTTTATGTTTACAATCAAAGTTAGATGCCAAGCGAACATCTCGTGTGTTAAATGTGTGATGAAACGTCCACTTAGTAAAACGACAGCGTATTAAAGGGTTAAAATCAGATCGTTGTTTTAAGCGCGAACGAATGACCTTTGACCTTAACTGAATTAGACATCACTTGTGCAAAGATAAAAAGAATAGAAACACACATAAAGCACACTGACTTATTTATTGCTCCATAAAGTTTATTTACTATTAAAAAGGGGGGGCACGGCCCCCCCAAAAGACTATATTACGCCGGTATCACCAGGAGTAAGAGTTACAACTTATAAGTAAGACACTGACTTACATATCAACATATATTATTGACTATATATTGTTGACTATATTACGCCGGTATCACCAGGAGTAAGAGTTACAACTTATAAGTAAGAAACTGACTTACATATCAACATAACTGTATATTCATATAAACATATCGTTACACTCCTTTAAGCGTCATCTTGACGTCGAACACTGACCACATCAAATATTTCAGAAAATTTCACAAAACCGATTTTAATTACCCTTGAACACCTGGACCAAAATAGTTATTTAAAATAATATTTGTTATTTTTCAATTTTTGTAGCGATTCTCTAATATTTACAGTTCCATCTTATATCTAACCTGATTCATCAATTTTACATTTTTCCAGCCTATAACGTGAGATGTGCTTCTTACATGTTCTGGTAAAGCAGATTCATTCACTTTACATTTATCTACCACATTTTTATGTTCTTCAATTCTAAATTTCAGATTCTTACACGTTTGGTCAGTGAAAGAAATACCACAGAAACAAAAATTTTTATAAATACGACATTTATCAACTTGTTCTATTTTATATTTTATACACGTGAGATAATTATCTAACTTACAACGCGGAGAAAATGTTACACTACAATCTATGTATTTCTTTTTGTATTACTTACTCTTGTTGACATATCTTGAACATATGACAAGCAAACATTTATTTCAAAAAGTGCACTATTTTCTTGTAATCTTGTACATAGTAACGTTTCATATTTATTGTTAAACTTATTGTACAACCCGTTGTACAGTTGTTTTGGGATCATTGTTTCTTGTTCCTAACTTGTTGAAAGAAAATCAACTCCGATCTTAAGTCATAGTCATAAATATAGACTTTTAGTGCTCTACAAATAAACATGGAAAATAGAAAATAGTTTTATGGCCAGGGGTGACACGATCTGTTGTGTGGCGGAACGGCAACCGAAAACGGTTTTCTATAAACTAACGTTGCGAGAAACCCACTATTCGGTTTCACTGAAATTTAGTTATTTTCTTTTTCAATCTCCTGCGTAAACCGAATAGTAGTTCTAGGAACATATGAGCGAAAGAAAAGAAGAATTTGTTATAATATGTCAACCATACTATATCTGCCATATCCATTGCCGACGAGGCTTTTCGCTAAATTCCAGGGCTCATCAGGTCGGCTGTAATAATTGTAGTCAAGATGCTATTTATGTCATTAACGTTCAGGAACAATAACTGTTACAGTGTGAAGTATATTAAGTGAATTGTAATTATTATCAATTTTATTTAAGTAATTTACAAACCAGATTTTTAAGGTAAGGATTCATAAAACAATATTGTTTATTTATATTACTTTTAACATTGATTATATATTCTACATTATTTGAATTAACTTTAATATTATTCAGAAGAACTGGAGAACTAACAAGCTAGGACTAACTTGTCTTCAAACTGTCCCCCCAGTTGTACAGCTGTATGTCCGCGGACTTATAACGCTAGAAACCGGGTTTCGATACCCGTTGTCGCAGAGCACAAATAGCTCATTGTGTAGCTCTGTGCTTAACTTCAAACAAATAAACAATCATTCAAATTGTATTAGTGTGTTGTTGTTGCTACAACAAAAACGTATTATCCACATATATCAAAGGTTTAATCACAGGTGTATTTAATGTATCTGTTTCAAATTTAAAAATAGCTCGCATAACAGGAAAAGCAAGTGGGAACCCAGAACTAAACCTCTAACTTATCTATAGAAAACACTTAATCTGTCTATAGACTATATCTCCTACCTTAAAATTTCACATTCTGCACACACACTCGTGGGTAACAGAGGAAATTTCTTACACCTAGTAATATATTCTCAAAACAACTAAGTGCCTCTTCAACTGGAACATTCGTTAAACAATACCAAAAGTAGCTAGTTTATTTGTAGACTCCAAGTTTATCTTTTTGATTTTATTAACAAAACCGAAAGATTCTTTTTACTTTTGGCCTTCTTTAGTTAATAAACTAAATAAGAGTTTGAGTGCTTACGGTTTAAAAAAAAATCGAAAATCATTCTCCTGAAGATGTCCAGCTCAATCAGGTCACACATGGCCAGTTATTGGTGGCCTCAGTTAAATGTCAGTACTGGGCCTTTTTTTTTTACATAGCTGTACTAGATCATAGTTAAACTAACGTACATATGTCTATTGTTCGCGAAATTGGTCCGGTGAAGGTTTTCTTTAAACGCGTTTCTTAAACATTTCTTATAAAAAAAGTTTTCAAATAATAGAATAAGGAATATGTTTTAATAAATACGATAACATTTCCTGTTATATACACGTATATTTAGCTAAATTTGTTTATTGGTTCTAAATTAATCAATAGCAGGACTGAAGATTCTTCGCATTGACCGAAACCACAGTCCTCAACTCGTCGTGATTTCGGCAGTGTAGTATTATTTTAATTTAGAGTATTGTATTTTGTAATTTAAATAATTTCCAAGGTTTTTTGTAACAAAATGTACTTGTCTTGTTGTCATATTTCGCGCAAAGCTACACGAGAGTTTTTGCCCGTACCCGTCCTTATTTTGAGGTTATACACTAAAGGGAAGGAAGATAGATAATCAACACTACCCAACGCTAACTCTTCGACTATTCATTCTGTGCATGCCACTTGCTAAACTTAGCCCAAGATCTATCTCGCCTGTAACGTCTATTCTATTCCAATTCACCAGAATGAAGTCGTTATTTACTGGACATAAAAGTGGTCACACTCAGAGGGCTTGAAATAATACAAGGTCTACTACGTTTTTCAATGCTCCTGTGTTTACCAGAAATTCAGTCTCTCACTTTTGCACAATTATCAGCACATACCAAGCTCAGTGCAATACTGAAAGAGCTGAGCTGACTACTAAAGTCTTTGGTGCAACTGTTTGCTGTGATCCTTTCTAGCCAGTAACCAAGCCGAACTTGAGCTTCACCAGTTTTCAGGAGCATTTTTCATAGCATCTACCACTTGTTACTGGTCATCCTGGACCTACCGATCCAATGGCTGATATTGATACCCTTGACTATTGTGCTGGTGGGAAAAAATAAGAACTTTGTGGGTTGGTAGGCATCTGCTAGGCCATTGGCTGAAGATAATAGTTCTGTCATCTTTGCTATGCTACAAAGTGCGAGAAGTCCCTTCTCCAGTGCTGCACTGATCTAAAAGTGAAGCTGACACTTTTCTCTTTTCATCCAGAATGATGTTCAAGGAGAGGCACGGTCGTGGCTGCAATATATGTTCCATGGGCAGACCTTGCAGTAGCATGTAAATTTGTGATGGCACATACCTCATGGGCAGACTTTACTGAGGAATATATCTTGTGGATGGACGTAACTGCTGCATATACCCCGTGTGAGGACCTGCATAGCCCTGCACATTCACCGTAGATCACTTTTCTGCCCTGTATAGGTGGTTGGTTGTAAACCCTCTGATTTGGTTTAGTTTACTGTTGTGGAGACACTGAATACCACCTGTCCACTAAAGATACTGCTGCAGACTTCTTCCTTTATGATGGTCGGTTTGAAGAGACCACTTCAAAGCATTTCACAACAAACATGTTTTCTTGAGAACGAATGATGTCCCCCACTCCTAGGTGCTGTTATATAAGCTCATTGAGAAGTCCTTCCATGAACTTATCGACCAAGATATCCTCCCAGTATGTAGAGACCATTGTTGGGTACACCTTCCCAAGCAATTGGTAAAAGTCAGCCATGTTGGCAGCCAGTACCTTAGTGCTGATACTTTTCTGAGCATTTAACTCGACCCATTGGATTACCCAGTTCTCATTCAGGTATTGAACAGCATCTTGAAATTTCACTTGATGATCTCCGAATAGAAGTTGACTATAAAAACTACTCCTGAATCCAACAGGTAAACTTGCTTTCTTTATCTAGTAAACAGCATCACCTCATGACCTTTGTAACCTCACAGAATTGCTTAGCTGTTACATTTAGTCAATGTCATAATCAGTCAGCAAAGGAATTTACAATGTCCATTGTTTTAAAGTGGATCCTACATATAATTACAATATCTTCTTAGACACTATAGATATCACCAACTACAGAGAACAAAGAAACAAAGTAAAAAGTAATTGTAGCGAATTTGTGAACCACATATTGCTACATCACAGCAGAGAAAATAAACAACACTAAAGCAGTTCCCTCGATGCTGATCTTCTTCTTAGTCTTGATGGCGACCTGATAGACTGCCCAAACATCATCCAGGTGTTTTATAGCATCAGGTGCTAGACTCTCTAAGCTCAAGAAGGCCAGGCATTGCACAGCCTGCTCCTGAGTCTATCCACCTTAAGCACTGAACTGCCTGCAACATTTCAGAAGGTACTCAGATGTAGGACATATGATATGAAATTGTATGAAATTCTATGGTTAATCAATCTAGTAACTCAATAGATGCAATAACTTTCATTATTAACACTGATCTGAACACACTCAATGAATATTTTATTAAATTCTCATTCATTCTTCACATATCTATTTCTTGAATTTATAACGTACTCTCATTTCTCCAAATTTTACGAATTTTCAACATCATTACATCATCATAAGCTTTCTATGTATTATAGGACTACTTTTATGAACTTTCTAGCCCTAGCATCATCATCATCATTATTATTATGATCAGCAGCTCCCTCTGACAAACACCTAAATTATAACATTGAAAATATAACTTTCAATAATAATTTTTGTTTCCAAAAATTTAATCTGGTGGGCTTCAGTTTAAACCTGAATGAATATGTATTTTTACATGGAAAGCAAAACTTTGAAATAGTTATAACTGCATATGTAAACTGAGTTTTAAATAAATTTCTGTCTTTCATTGTCCAACACAGCAAATTATGTAGTTATTATTAAGTAACTTTGAAATTTGTGAGCGTGGAGGAGAGAAGGGGAGTCATAAATTATAATTTTCTACACAAGGACCAGCATGTCATCTTATAGGTTGTTCATTCGTTGGGCTGATTCTTTTGAATTATTTGGTTTAAAACAGTTTAAAGCCACGATAACAAATTAGTTTATTTTCTTCCTTATCGTTCCTACAAGCATATACCTTTTGTCTGTAGGGCTATGTTTACAAATGACATTCATACAGAAATACCATGCTAGTTGTACTACGACTAACACAGAAATATACTTACTTGAACAATTTTCCGACTGGTCGCTCTAGTAACTGGATGACATGAAATAACTGAAACGGATCCAAATACTTCAGTAATGACTGATTCACTGCTCGCTTCTAACTGACTGGCACACTCGTTTTTATATCTGATGTCTCACTTCCAGATATTCGTTGAAGTTACTAGATTTTTATGATATTTTCTAGAACATTCTAGATATTCTACACTTACTTTTATAAACTTTTCGATCTTAACGTCATGTGTCCTGTAGCTAACATCCAAATTAAAGCATTGAAAATACTGGTTACGGCAATAAAGATAATAAAAAGAAATATATGATGTTACGAAACCAACAGATGTTGAACTCGAACCAGTATCATCTTTAATAAAATCTGTCTCATGACGTTACGTATTTACGCCAGTCTACTTATACAGTTGTAATGGTTTCTATCGATTATATGGGTTCGTATTGACTGTTCGATAGGAAAAAAAATAACGAAAGATTCAATCCACTTAAAGAAATAAAAATGATTTATTTCTTTAACTTGAGCCCCCTGGCGACGTAGCGATAGGTCTGAAGGCTTACATAGCTAAAAATCGGGTTTCGATGCCCGCGGTGGGCAGAACGCAGATAAACCTATTGTGTAATTTAGCGTTTAATATACAAACAAAACTGCTCAACTTCAAGTTGACCGGTACACCTAACTTGACGTATTACGTCTACAGACATTATACTTACATAATAATTTTGTATCTGTATTTACTTGCTGAAACACATACATGTTGTTTGTAATTATATTTACTAGACGAAGCGTATGCAATACAAAGCTCTACGTTCAGAAAACTCAATGTAGGAAGGTTGGTACTTATTTAAGTAGCTATAATTTTCTCCGTGCCACATGTTCAAAAACGTAACAAATACGACACACATTGAATTTCGCATTTGATATTAATATAATAAGCAGTAGCAAAAAAAAAATAAATTAAGTATGATGTAGGGATGGTAACGCTAGGTAGCACAAAAACAATGTAGTTATAACGCTGAGTAGTATCTTTGAATTTTGGAATATGTTCTTTCGTGTCTTTAGGATGTGGGTAAACAGGATGTGACGTTTTCCACACTCTCTCTCTGAATCATTTAATCTTGATTCGGCAAGTCAGCAACTGCAGTACTCTTCCATGTACATGTGGATCTAAATCCCGAAGAAGCAGAAACAACTGCAGTGTTGCTTTTTATTTACTTTTGGTAATATTATTTTATTACTAAGCTACAATTGTTAAAGGCTTGTTTGTCATCTTACTGAAGAAGTGGATCAGTTTAGTTTTAACTACATGAGTAGACGTTCTTCTGATTATTGTTCCACGGAGCATTACTACAAATAACAAAATAAGAAGTAAGTCTGTATTTTATTTACATATTAGGTTTAAGTTTTACCTTTTAAAAAATTAGAAAACTTGTAATAAATAAAACAAAGAAATCGGATTAACGTTAGTGCTCTAACGCCAAAGTAGCAGTAGAAAAGGTAACGCGTGTAAATTAGTCAACGAAATTATACTGACAGTATGAGAACTACTTTAAAGTGGCGGAAAAAATGGGTAACATTTTAACAAGTCAACGAAACTAAACTGACAGAAGAGCTATAATTTTACTGCAGTAGTTAAACATCAATTTTAGAATACAAACTTTTAGGATACATAATTAAATTTGGACATTGATGACTAGTTGAGACACCCTATAATGAGCTCATTATCCTCCGCTTATACAAACACTACGCTTATTATTAATTTTGAAAAATTATAACACGAGATAATTAAAGTAAAAATTGGACTGTTTGTTGTAGACTGAACTTGTGACCAAACTTATCAACACTACCCAGAAACAACTAACTCCGTTACCATCCATTGTATAATGAAATTTCATGGCTAGGTTTAGGACGAGAGTCCGTGCTAAAGGGGAGAGCCTGCCAGAGCTGGCACAGGATTTGGAAAGTATGGCACACAAGGCCTACCCAACTGCGCCACCCGATGTCCTCAAGCTGTTGCTGAGGGATCAGTTTGTAGATGCTTTGGACAGTCCACAAATGAAGATACAAGTGTT